TATGGCACAATACTTTGATGAATTTCGTACGCACTTTTGGGAGAGCCTGAAGATGAATTTGATAGAATCCGTACTATTAATACCTTAAACCGTAGATAAAATAAAGGAAATATAACACCAGCGAGGAAGTTTAGCTAATGCGGGTGGACAGAATAAAAATAATGCGACTATCTGATCTTACTTGTATTTGGTAATTGGCGGTTATTGCAAAAGTATCGAATTAAATTTATGGTACCGGGACATACTAAACTCAAGTGTGATGGCAGTTTCGGATTGATTAAGAAACTATATACCGAAAAACGATCGTAGATTGTGTGAATCATATTGTTGAGGTCGTGAAAAAATTGAGTACAGCAGTAATAAACAAGGCTCAGCGCTATGAGAACGGCAAAGGCTTTCAATACTTAGATCTTAATTCCGTGTTAGAAATTTATTTTAAAAAAATTGAGTGGTTTACAAAAATATCAGTATTCTAAACAGCTTTTACTGAATTTAATTTATTGAAAACCAAAAAGCAAAGGTTGCTGAAATTACCAAAAAATTTAAATTTTTTCTATTTTAGTTCTAATTTCGTCTACTTTGGATTATAAAAGGCAAGAATATCTTTACTATAATATCCGCCCATTTGTTAGAGACAAATTCAAGGATATTACTTGTCCAAGGCCAACTTATACTGATAATAAATAAAATATTTTAGTCAATTGCAAATTTTATTACTTTATTGTTTTTGTTTGTTTCTATTACTATTAATTTTTTTATAAGTTAACATAAGAATTAAAATCATGACACACCAAATAATATTTAACCGAAGAAAAAATAAAAGAAAATTAATTGATAGTTTAAATCAAACCCAAATAAAGCAGAGATAAGAGCAGTTATAGATTATCTTTGGCTCCACCCTTATGCATTACAGCATTTAGACGACAAAAATTTTAGAAAAAGTTTTGTTTATCTTATTTACAAGCATCATAAAGCATTGTCTTGATGAGTAAAGCTGATAAAAAGTTAATATTAATGCATAAAGGTTTAACAAATTCTTAACAACTTATTAGAGAAAGAAAAAAATAAGTTGTTTGAAAAAAAAAGCAATTGGAAGTAAAAGTTAGAAAAAAAAATAACAGAATGGAAGAATTGGAAGAGAGAGTAGAAGCAGAACAGGAAATATAAAAGCACTTGACGAAAGCTGAGGAATGACTATGACATGACTGAATCTTTGCAATAACCATGCAAAAGAGTGTTTTTATATTTAGTAGAACTGTAGACAATAGAAAATTTGGAAAAGAATTTAGATGCTGAAGATGCGAAAATAGCCAAATTAACTTTAACCTATAAAGTTCCAACAACTTCAGAAGTTAGCGAATAAACTAAGGGAAAAATTAGCATAAAAGTTAACGTAATCCAAGCCTACATTTTTACAACAGTTTGAAACAATAATTGTGAAATTGGAATATAGAATTCTTGAGGCAGCCAGAGGAGATAAACAGAATTGTAATTACTGCTTGTTAAGTTTTGTAACATTGCTACTCATACTCACTGAGTTATGAGTAGCAACATTCAAAGATAATGATAATTATGCCAACATAGCTTATAATGTAAAAGGATTTTGAAAATGATACTCTTCCTTACTGTGAACTTTGTGATAGACCAAAGAGAAGTAGAATAAATTGCTTTTGTAATTTGTTAGAGAATAACCAATACCATCACTTTCTACAGAAGAAATAACATTGAATACTTTTTGAAAAAAGAAAACAAAAAAAAAACTAGAGAACTGGAAAAGGAACTGTCACTAAGGAAGAATTAAATATTGAAAGAGAAGAAGTAGTCAAATTTACAAAAAAACTAACGAATAAGGTGATAAAAAATAATTGGATTAAAAAACTAGAAGCAGAGAATACTAAGCTAAAAGAAGAAAATAAACAGTTAAAAGAGCAACAAAATGGTTAAGTTGCTCAAATTTAAAATTGAGGTTAAAAAAATAAGAGATTACCTTGGTTAAAGTAAAGAAGTAATTTGAATTTCATAAGTAATTTTTTCTTGATCTAGATATTTGGGTATTTATTATTGATTTTAAAAACATAAGGAAAAAATTTTTTTCTTTTTCCCCCCAAAATGCTTCTAATTCTTGAATTTGATATAAATTAGTTTTATGTTGATATTTTTAATATAAAAATACTCCTATATATATTAATTATGTTATGGTTTACATTTATCACGTTCTGGTACACAGTAATAATAATAGGGAAACTCGATAATAATAAGTCCGAGTTTTCGAGAGACCAATAGAATTCATCGTAACACAATTTTCTTTATTATTATATATATATATATTTGCTTTCGAATTACAAATTTGTAAACAGATAATAATAAGAACGAAAATTTGTTACTGCTATTGCTTGTTTAAACAAACGCCTTTGTTTCAACAAATTAATTGTTTTCTGCTAAATTTCCGTTTTAAGTCTCTTAACCCCGAGACAAATTTCTATGTCCTTATTCTGTTCCAAATAATTACATAAAATTTGAAAGCAATTTTATTAGATATCATAATCAGTGGACTTCGGCGTCATCATCTGACAAAATGTTATTGGGCAATCTCCTATAATAGTAAAAATCTTCTGTAGATTTTTATTTAATCACGTGAACCACAACTTATCGAGAGTCATTTACTAACACTGTTTGGAGAGGTTGTCCGACTTACAGCTTAACGAGAGTTTATATATGCCGTCCGACTTATCGAGAAAATTTTAAATATAAAAAAAGGGACAGATTTTATCCGGCTTAAGCCAAATCCGACTTATCGAGTTTACCTATTTATTGTAAAGTGAACATTAAATTAACCAGTCCATAAGTTATGAATGAGCACCATTATTACTTTTCAAAACGTCAGTCACAGTCAATTTTACAGCCACATCATAGTCAGCACCTCATTTATAGAATGATCACTTTGTCTGGTTTTGTCGCAGCATTGTATTCATAAACAAACGCGCAAGAGCATTTCAATCTAGTTAAGTAATTCTGCTTCCATAAGTCAATATGATTAATTTAGCAAGGGGTACAGGCAAGGTCTATGACTTTCAGTATGAAAAAAATATCTTGGGACACCCCCGCAGACAGTAACCCCTGCGGACATGTTATATGCATCATAGTTACGAGTCTGAAATTTTTGTCTTAAATTACAAAACGGTTGCTTGCTCTGCGTTAAGAAAATTTAACGAAACGCCAAAGGGTTTAACACGCAGATTGATTAAAAGCTGTACAGCGGCGGTATGATCCGGAAAAATAAATTCGTAAAAATTTAAATTTGCTCAAAGGTTTCGTCACACTGTTTACTTAAAAATAGTCCCTTTGAAATAAACACATTTTCTCAATGGTATATTCCTTATTCGAATGAGAATCTGCTTGGCAAAGCTAGAGCTTAACAATGTTTATGATGGAGACAAAACTGAAACCATCAGCTTTATTGTGACGACTGATTAATTGGTCCCCCTGAAAATACACAGTGGACGTTGTCGTAGCATCTTTAAATTAATATAATTTATATTAAGGCGTGTGACCCCTTTGTTCGGATTTTGGTTACAATTCTTATTGACAATCTTTCCTTTTTCGTTTTCTAAATAGATAATAAACATTACTATCACGTGGGGTTTTAAATAGTAATAGTAATTATAACGCAGTCAGAAGGATTGGTGTGATATCATTACGATGATATCATGAAACACTGACGCTATTTGTGCAAAGGAAGTAAAAATCCAAAGCTCATTGAGTTTTAAAATACCAACTTGGGCAAATTGCAAGGACAATTAATAAGGATACACAATTCAAATGTAACATTCAATTGGGTAGCCGTAATGACCAGTCGTAATTCGTCATCTTGTAAGGACGTCATCCGGTTTATCATCAAGGTTTATGCAACTAAGCACAAATACCAAAACCCTTAAATTCTTTGATACAATAGTAAGGGCATATTGTGCATACTCGTCTCGTCCCACATTCGAAGGATGAATGGTTTTGGAGGGGTCCTTCTATGGACGATAAGTGACTTAAAACACAAAGCATATTAATATCAAAGATTGGGTGTACCACCCACATGATTATATTTCGAATTAGCGAAACCTCGGGCGCATATACCTCAAACTAACTTTTGTAACAAAGGAGGGGATAAAAGAACATCATTTTGTATAGAATCTTTATCGATACGTTCTCATTCTACGAAAATAAGCTCAAGCCTTATCAGATGATCAAAAAAAAAAGTTCAATACATTTAAAAGAAATGCCCATTTTTGCACATCCAATAAGGACAATGTCTTAAGCCTCATTGTTGTATGATCTGCTCTTGTAACGCCCATTTCGCAATGCATATTCGTACATTCTTGAAATAATTGGTCTTTATCAGGTGCCAAAGTTTTTATTGAAGCTTCCAATGTGAAAATAAAAGTGCACAAGATGTACAGTATCATTTGCAAATAATAGTAGAAATAGAATAATAACCTATAATTCACTATAATCGTCTTGTTTAAATATTTACAAAACAAATAGTACTAATTGTTCCATTATGAACAGATGTTTATTACAATTGTCAAAATTATTTGAGTCCATGTCCCTTTTGTATAAAGGATTCATAGAACCAATAATATATCCAAAGGAAATGATGAATATTGTCAACGCGTTTTTCTTTTTTGTTTATATTCCAATTCCCGTTAATCAAGAAAAGAGGATATATAAAAGCTGTTTTTAAAGTTCTATACAAAAATAAACAAGGTTTAAAAAAAAACAAACATAAGTACGGACCCACGATCCGCATTCAATGTAAATAACTATTTGTAAAAAAAAATATCGCTACACCAACCCCAGTTTTCTTTCCAAATATTAGCTAATTCAAAATCAAAAAAGTACTTGGCCCTCTCCCTCAAAAATATCGACAAACTACTCCCACTTCACGATCATTAACTTATAATCACCAAAATGCACGCCCATCCATTACCCCATTACTACGCACACCATTTTTAATCACCACCGTCAATTACACTACGACGACAAATAGGACATTTGTCAGAGTTCTTCAACCATGCGTCAATACAGTCTGTGTGAAAGTCATGCGCGCATGGAAGATCCCGTAAGCGTTCGTTTATCTCATATTCACTCAGGCAGATTGTACAACTGCGAAAATAAAGTGTCATGTCATTACATAGTGAAATTATTGAGCGTAAAGAATAAAATTACAACTATTCCATACTACTTACCGTTCACCATTGCTCTTGTCTTTTGACAAAGTATATGATTTTGTGGGTAAACTCTGTATAAGACTGTCAGGAACACCTTTTGGTTTCACATCTCCGTTTCGTTCACATAGAGACCATAGACTTTCGTAACTGCCATCAAAGTCGTCATCATCCTGTAAGAATAATAAAAAACAACGTTAGTTGGTCTTGCCACATCAAAATGATTGAAACAACGAGTATTAAAGTGCCCATTAATTAGATACTTGCCAGGTAATTACCAGGATTCGCTGCTATCCCAGAACCACTAAACCGCAAATTAAATAATGAACAAGAATTAGCATGAAATACACAATCTACAAATCTCTCTACAAAAACAGATTCGCATAATTCCTCTCCCTTTTCCAGTTCGCATATATTCTCTGGCTTCTACTTACAGAACGTCCGGTAACAGTTCCAAGATCTCATCTAAATCCAAATCATTAAAGAAATTCCCAATGAATGGTATCTGAGGAATAAAATGATGGTGATGATGATGATGATAGGTACCAGAATTTCCTCTGCTAGATCTATTCTGATTTCGTGCAAAACTCCTACGAGGCGTATCATTATCACGGTCTTCCCTATCGTAGAGGTCAAACGACCGAGGAGGGAAACGTGAGTATGATGGAGTTGAAGAAGACGTTTGAGCAGATGAAGTCGATGGGTTAGATGAGTCGCGTCGGTGTCCGTGGTGATTGTGGTGGAGCGGTAATCGAGGACCAGAAGTGGATGATGATGATGCTGATGATGATGCTGATGATGATGTGGAAACATGAGGAGGGAACATGACCGATGGTTGTACATTTCCCGATCCAACGTTTCTATCTCTCGTTCCTGATCCTGATCCTGATCCAGCGTTCGCCTCACGACGTGATCGAATAGTCTGGGCAATTCTGGCTGTTAATGGAATCACTTGGCTTCTATCCGACGTCGAGTTTGACCTACTACCACCAGATGCCATGGCCGCTCGGAACGGTGAGACTTGGTTCAGGCGTCTGTAATTAAGGAGTTCTAAATGACGAGAGTGAAATGGCACCCAAGGGTTGTCAGGCGTGGCTGAAGATGGAGGTGGTGGCGGAGGCGATGGCGATGACGGTGATGTTGATACTGGTGTGGGACTGGTTGGCGTGGGTCTGGCCGATGCCGATGTATTGGATGTGGGTACCCTATCGGGTCCATTTGCTGACGATGTCGGTATCGTCTGAGTAGAACTTGGGAATGAAGGAATTATCGGATTTACCCCAGGAATGCTATTACCCATTCCAGACATAATATTGTTATCACTTCGACCATTCACACCATTAGTACCATGACTTATACTACTAATTCCGCTTCCACTAACTCCACTCATCCTTCTCCAGTTTCTGTGTCTTACAGCACTGAATCCAATATCAACCCCCTCCTGATCTATTGCCATCCCATAGTCTTCATCATCATCATCATCTGATTCGTAATGTGCCGATGTTCGAAGAGAAGCATTACTGTGACCATTACTGTGCGGTGCAAATGATAGCCTTGTAGTCGAAACTCGGCCGGGTCGTCGCTGGGTTGACGGAGGCGTTACCCTTGACATACTGGATCCTTGGCGATAATTGGACACTCGCGGAAATTGTTGTGACGACGGGTTACGTGGAGTAAGTAGAGGCGGTGAAGAAAGTCTGTGTGGCATCGGGTTGTATGTTGTTGCGGATGAAGAGGAAGGTGAAGGTGTGGTGTTTGATGGAGGAGTAGAGGTACTAATGTTGGCTGAAGTAGAAACTGTAGAGGAATTGGATGATTGTGACGCTGTTGTCATGGGCGAAGAATGTGTACTATCTGGTTGAAGCGTGTTATTGTCATTGTTATTCGTAATAACGTTATTATTGTTCATATGAGTATTGTTCCTTCGTGGGTTCCATCTCTCACTTGTTCCGTCCATTGAATTTGAAGTTAAAGATACGTTTATCCCATTACTTGCTGGTGCAAAATGACTACTGTATCCTCTAGACTGTTCCGTGTCTGTATGTCTTGGAATCGAGTTGTCGACTTGATGGGCAACATTGTTAACATATGATCGTCTAGTTGCAGGAAATGGTCTAGGAAATAGAGAAGAACGATACGACGAAGACGAAGATATAATTGCGGGTAGAACTTGTTGATAAACATTTGATGTGCGCGGTCGCTGAAACGAGTCAGAATGTCGCCCGTTTTCTTGCACCGTCGAAGACAGTGGTGGAGGAGTGGTGGTTGTGGTAGAGGAAGTGGACGTCGAGGTCGTTATAGGTCTGAGTGCTGTGTTTTGGCTAGCATAGTGTTCCATACGGGATCCATATACTGCAGGAAAGGTCGTAATAGGTGACTCTGGTAAATTGTGCAGATCAGAATATGGAGGCACATAGCTTCCATTAGTCTGTTGTCCAAAATATCCTATTGGCGAAGTAACTGTTCGCATACCTGTGGAGCCATTAACACCAACATTAAAACTTGCACTTCCATTCATATTATTGGCACTTCCGCCAACACAATTACTTATGTCATTCATTCGAACATTCCCATCCAACATGCTTCCGTTAACAGCTCCGGGGTATCCAGCCATTTGTGGATGTTGAATCCCCTGTGTCCACTCACTTGACCTCGTCCGGGCTCTCTTTCTCGAACTATCATATGAAGAAGACGATGAAGAAGATGGGGAGTGAGAATCATTGTCATCCACGTCTGAGGAGGACGACGATGAGTGGGAGAATCTAAGGGACGAATGTTTTTGGGGGTCTGAAGAGGTTATGGGGGCAGTAGTGGTTGTAGATGATGCAGGTTGAGTTATAGATGAAACGGATGCGTGATGTGACAGCGATGTCGAGGTTGCATTGATACCGGAATATGGATGTGGATCAAATGGTAGTGTACGGGCTGGCCAAAATGTACCGCTTAATGATGGAAGCGGCGTGTGATCTCTTTGAGCGTATGACGCTCTGTTGCTGAATGATGGAGTTGTGAAAAACGAAGGCAGCAGCTGTGGCGGTCTTTGTTGCGGCCGTTGTTGTGGCTGCTGAGTTTGTTGTTGTTGTTGTTGCTGTTGTTGTTGTTGTTGTTGTTGTTGTTGTTGTTGTTGTTGTTGTTGTTGTCGTTGTTGTTGCTGTTGTTGTTGTTGCTGTTGTTGCTGTCGCTGTTGCAACTGACGCACCATAGCGTTTTGCCGTAGCATAATGTGATGCTGTTGCTCGTGTTCACGTTGTTGTGCATGATGTTGCTGTTGTTGATGTTGTTGATGCTGTTGCTGTTGCATTACACATTGTTGTTGAAACGATTGATGCCGCTGTTGACGTTGCTGTTGCGATTGCTCTCGCGATTGCATATACCGCTGTATTTCTAAAAACCGTCGCTCATTCTCCTGTTGCGTCGCATACGCAGATTCTGACATAATGTAATGCCTTTGTAAACTGTCATTATCTCTCTGTTCATTTACCGTACCAATTTCATCATCAGATGCACAGTCTTCCATTTCTTCGTCCTCATCTTCTGTACTTATAGAGTCACTCTCGATAGGATAAGAAGAGCATTCTTCTTCGCTAGAGACTATATCCATATCGTTAAAGTCTGGGTATTGATATGGCGTTTGAACTGGGTTGATTAGAGAATAGTGAAGAATTAGAATGGAGAGGCATGGTTTGTAGGCGGCGTATATAATGTGTAAGTAAGTCAACGAGCAACCAAGCAATGTCTGTTTTCTGATAACAGTAATGCAGTCAACGCAAAGTCAGGATAATATTACTCAAGCAACGTTACCAGGGACGGCCAACTTGTTAGAATACTCTGTTCCACTTCAACTCTCTTTTATTCTTCTGCCGGCCGCCGAATATGTGGTTAATATAATGCGATAGTTTCTGTTATGTTAATACAGGTTGACGATTTGTTCGGTTATAACATGTATGCTCTTACTTTTGAGGTTGAAATGACCACATGAGATAGAGGGGTTTTGGCTCACTTACTGGGCGTGTCTTTTAAGACTCAAAACTTGTGGAATGAGTGGATTACTGTTCACCTCTTCTTAATGCTCTTATAATATATAGAGGATATTCTAATTGTAAAGTCCTCGTTGCCAGTATGTATATATATTTGGTATTCCTTCAAGAGTATACTTTATACACTTTGCCGTTCTTTACTTTTTTGACCTTTAGCTCTGGCCGTCTGCTAAGCCTTGTAATATGGTTGTGAATAGAGAAGAACGGGTCTTTATATTTTCAGAGATTGGCGTAATGTATTTATGTGGTATTGATGCCAAGTTTCAATATTTGAGGCAGTAAGGGAGGGGGATGGACAAGAAACGTCTGATGATTAGTATGGGTAGTGAAATGTTTGTGATGGGAATATATAGAGGGGTGAATTGTAGATTAGAATTGATGTGACGGGGGGACCGGGATTATTGTGTCTAGATTGGACAAGATATATATAAATATATGCAATGACGAGCGTGAATATGTAATGCAATGAATGTGAAAGTGATAATGGATTATGTATTCTATCTCCATAGAATGCGGCAAAGATTCATTGTGTTATATAGTTGTCTCAGTATTACCATGATGTTTTAGAAATTTGATTGGATGACAACAGATGTTAATGTTGACTATCAGATAATAAATAGTAGTCACAAACGTTGCTATTTCGGTTCTTTTCCATTCGATAACTTTTGTCCCATTCATTTCCATTCATTCTCTGTTTATTCATTATTCCATTGCTTTTCTCCTAATTCTCTTGTTTGTTCAATTGAACGCGACATCGGTGGTGCTGATCAGCATCGTGCGCTTATTGGCAGTATTACAATGGTGTTAACTCAACATCCACATTTCTCAGAAACGTTAATTGAATAAGAGTGTCCATATATTACTAATAATTAATAATCACACCCCAATTTGAGATAACAGTTTGTGTCAGTGGAAAGACCGCATCCCAGTTTATGGTTTTTTATTGTTCTTTTCTATTAGCATCCGCCGGAGTGTATACTGCAGTCGGCCATTTGTCAATGTTTCTTGTTCTGGGTATAGTAATACCATTTATTTTCAATGCCTCCGATTGCAGGGCCAGTAACGTCCTTGTCGTCGATTTAACGTTAGAACGAGAGTCCTATAAAATTGCGAATGTGAATGAGCAGTCCATGGATGTAATACGGCTTGAAACATTATCCATCTATGCTACTTTTTCTCTTCGGCTGGCGTTTTTTTTTCTATTTTCCTTTATCATAGCGCCCCCACCCCCTTTAATTGTTTACCTCTATTGTTTTCTGGACATCTTGTAGGCTGGATTCACAATGGGTGATTGCCGTAGATACTTGGGTAAGACGAGCAAACAATGCCGCCGATAACTGCGCTCTAAAATGGTCGCTTGCCGACTCTTAAACCAAAAAGTAAACGTATATATCAATATTACCTCCAACCAACACAACGGTTTACTACATAGATGGCCAAATTATTCATGTTATCAAATAAATAGAACGTTTACGCCATATCAATCTATCACATATTTTGCACGAGGCTTACTCGGATCCTTCTGTCCAGTTGACCTTACAGATTGAGACATTGGTTCTTTAATATTATGCCAATGTATATATGATTATGAATTATAGCTGGTACTTATTATCATTCATAATTTTAATTATTTTAGTAATCTTATTGATGATTGTTTATTAATGATTTGCCAATTTACCCCGATTCTTTGCTACATATCACACATGAAAAAAAAAAAAGTACTCACTTTTCGGCTCATGAAGCATTTTGATGACAATCACATCCAATATATAAGAATACAGCAGTCGGACGAATCACATGCAATCAATGGGAAATCGTTCAACTTTACCGTTTTATTATAGATATTAAAGAACACAGCCAAATTTACTTTATCGCACCCCCCCCCCCCACGCTTTTAAGAATGCCAATAGACGACATGAATCTCCAAGACTACGTTCAGGGTTATGAACAGTCTTTGGATAGTTTTACCGAAATATTAGAACCCTTACTAAATACCCCAATGGAAGAAATAACAGCTAAACTGGACGTCATAGAACGAGCACGAGTACAACTGTTGGTTGCATATTCAATAAATAACTTAATATCCTGTAAGAAATATAATGTTACAGCACAGCCCTATGAGAGATCTAAATATCGGCATAAGACTATTTTTAATGTGACTATATATTTCTTATTCTCACGGTTATAGATCACTTACCGCCCGTCTAAACATTATAGTGTACTTGCAAACGAATGCAGTCGACCCAAAGTCACATCCAGTCGTTGAACAGCTGGTAATAAGAGATAAGCAGTTTGAAGCGATGCCACAAAATCTTATTAATGCATTGATGCTATCCCTTTCATTGCATAGAAAAGAGTAGAACGTTACTCTAAGCTTGTTGAAAATACAATCAATCCTCCCAAACCAACGCTCTCCCTCAACAAAAGCGCAGCTAGTAGATTTATAAAGCATTCATTGCCAGCTGACGATGACAATAAAAGTAAGTGATGTAACTGACGGAATAGAATAAAAGTGTCACGACAAACACATGATATGTATTAACAATTATTGCCAAATACAGGCAAGAAACGTGCGAGATCAGACGCTAACGATGAAGAAGATGTACGTTGGGATCAGAAAAATTACTGGGACCGAGGCCGAGATAGAAGAGATAAAAATAGACGAGACGGCGACAGAGATAGAGACAGGGACAGAGACAGGGACAGAGACAGGGACAGAGACAGAGTTAGGGATAGAGATAGAGATAGAGATAGGGATAGAAGAGGTTTGATGGAGCTTAGTCGCTCGAGACTACGAGATCGAGTCAGGTCGAAACAAAGTCCTCGATGATAACTCTGGCCAATAGAATAGCAAAGGCATATACATACATTCATAATTGCCGAGTGTAAATAACCATCGTGATTGATAACTAGTATACTGCGCATGTATCAAGAGTATTAACCTGGGCAAGAATAAATATCAAGCGTTCACCTTTCCACTCGCATTTCTTGCGCTAATTTACCGCTCGATATTAAGTTTATTATATTCTTCTGCAATTTTTTTTACTATTCTCATTCATTCTCTCAAAAATTCACTTCAGCTCGTAAAAATATAGAATAGAATCAAAATTGGAGGATAAGCATAAGCAGAAAATTATATACAAAAAAAGGGGGTGTGAGAGAGACCCAGAGAGAATCGTAGGTCTTTCAAGGTTTAAAGAAATTAAAAAATGACATTTTGAATAAAGAAAATAAATTTTTTTTTCCAAAGAAAAAGAAAAAGGAAAAGAAAGAAAAAACAAAACTAAAGAGAAAATTTTTGTCTGTACAATTATGAATGGATTTTTTAATATAAAAAAAATGATAGATCAACTGTCATGAATTTTATCTGTTATAACTGACTTTGTCACCTTTTGATATGTTGCAAATATCCACTATCTCACGTCAACGACTGCCCATCAATCAACACGTCCTTTTTACAAATATCATTACTCTACTTTCTACTATAAGAATCAACCAGATTCAATACAACGTTCATATCTGCCATCTCGAATATAATAGTTCTCGTCATCAATAAGTCCCTGCGATATTATTTTCCTTGACCCAAGTGAGAGGCGTCGCGTTAGACGATGATATGTTTACACTAGCAACTGTTGCCAGCGGTTCTGCTTTAATCACTTCTGGAATCTCCGTCCTCTCCTCATCCGGCTCCAGAGCCAATGGTAGCTGCTGCTGTCTTTGAGGTACTGGAGATACACTAGAAACACTCTCAGAAGTGTCCATAACCGTATTATCTCTACTATCTTCCTTTTCATTTCCGGCACTAGTCACATCGGAAATATCAACAGATTCGCTTGGCGCATATACAATGTCCGCTTCCGCTAATGGCGAGTATACATCATCAAACCCGAGGAGATCCAATTTTTCTTTCACCTGTGCTACCCAATCATGGTTTTCGGGATTTTTCAGAAAGTCGGTTAACTTTGAAAACTCTTCGACAAGAATACGCTCAAGCTTTGCACCAGAAAGCTCTTTGGTCATAAGTAAGACGCCCTTGCCAAGAAGTTCACAAAGAATAGATAGACGCCATGCACAATTGAGACGATGTTTGCCTACTTCTCGTCCACCAGTTTGCTCTTTGATGTGGAGTGTTACTGTTGGATCGATGAAGCTGGAATATGTGGGAAACTTTACTGACGCTTCTGTTGAAGTTTGTGTAAATTCTTGAACCTTTTTTGCCGGACTCGGTGCTTCCGTCTGCGCAAGTCTAGCTAAATCTTCCTTGTATGCATTGTAAGTTGTAAAGAGTTTATACAGTTCTAAATTCGAAAACACTTTTGATGAAATTCCATCTATGCGGGACGTTGGCGGTGATTGCAAAAGGTGGCAAAGAAGGTTTAGGCGTGAAGAGCTGGTAGGCGATTTAGCATTGGACGACTGTCTGATGTTGAAGTATGATTCGGTGATGGAGGAAATGAGGGATTTTGATTCTTCGAGACGCTGAAGAAGCGTTTGTTTGGATATTGAGCTGAATAGACGTTTCACTGCTTCGCAGCCTATGAGGAAAAAAAAAAGATTGAATTATTGAAAATGTGAAAACAGAAAAGATAGGTCTATATCAGACGAGATAAAAAATTGATAGTGTATTCGATGTTAAAAATGGTAAGCGATCCAAGTTGTTTTTTTTTTAATAAATTTGTCTCTAAAAACACGTGGCCATTCCCCAAACCACAAACAGAAACATACTTACTCAAAGGCGGTGCTTTATGCTTATCCGCAGCCCGCCTTTTCATGGGCATGTTGTGATGTACGAAATTATCCTCTTCCTCATGAACATCACTCCCCCTCTTTCGCTTTATATTCGACAAATTCCCGACATTGACATGCCATACATCCTGAGTACCTGTATGTTGTTGGTGTTGTTGATGGAGATGAAGCTGTTGCTGATGCTGCTGTGCTTCTAGAATTTCATCCTTTTCTAATTCATCCGTATCTTCATCATCATCCTCGTGACCACGATGATAATGATCCATTGCACCTGTCATTGACACAATTCCAATAATATTTCCATTGGTTTCGTGCTCGGAAAACGTTCGATCACACGAAGAGTTAAATTCGACAACGTATTCTCGAAAAGCGGTATCATCGCCATGGTGAAATCTTATTCTGTTTGGAAAGAGTCGCTCTTTGATGCCGGATGACTCCAAAACTGATTTGATGCAGGCGAGCAAAGTCGCCATTGTAGTCGGGGATTCCCGAACTTTGTCTTTGAGTATTGTCACGAACCGCACCATTTGATCATCTCCTAATATATCATCGATCGAGGGTTTTAGGAATTGAGGCGGTTGTGCACTGATAATATTAGCATTATTAATACTGCTACTGCTGCCGTTATTATTACTATTGCCCATGATAATCGACTGGGAGATTCCGATATGGTTATTATGCTGTGTTACTGGGCTATCCACATCCATTCTTATGTCTTGCGAGTGTGCTTCGGCACATGCAGTGAATTCTACTATATATGACACTCCAGAAAAGTCGAATGAGACTGTCTTGCGTTTCCCAAAGACAGTTGTTGGAAAGTACGGTTTAGAAAAAACTGCTTTTATGGTACAGAGGCATTTGGCAAGAGAATAGGGAGATTCGGTTGTTTTTGTTTTTAGGAGCTCGAGGAGTTTTATGATCTGGAGGTCATTGACTATACCGGATATCGTAGGTCGGAGGATACATTCACCTCGCATTGTGAGTTCTTGAGTCCCAACACGCTTATTGATTTCGAAGGTTGTATAACGGGTACGTAATGCGAACTGATATAGGGTATAATATTATGTATGACGCAGTATCGGATATATACTATCTTACTTATTACCACTGGCGACCTTGGTTTTTTTGCAGATAATAATGTTTTTGGGTCGTCGTGATATACGCCCCATACATATATAAGGATATAACCGTATATATAATACAGGACAAGAGTATCTATCCTCTTTCCGACTTAGTCCTTGGGCGGATATCGGGTATTTCACCGATATATTTATTAATATTGTAAAAATGCAAGTCTCTTCAAGTTGGGAATGGGAAAGAGTACACAAGAAATAATTCTTTTGCGTCGACTCCCCCAATGCCGTTTGAGGGAATGGGGGTTGTGGGTAGGCTGGTTGTTTTTAGTTTTTGTCATACGGGCTGTGTGCTAGATGCTCGGCCCGAACCTCCGACTGAGATAATCTGACGGAATGTACAAGGGTCACGGATACTAATAAATTTAGGGTATGTGCCGATGTTTGCGGCGACGCAATTACTGTCAACGAATGATGAAGTTATTGCTGGCGTCAAACTTTATATAGTTTGAAAAATTACAAATTTTTCAGTCAATTAAATATTTCGCAGGACACAGGTTTTAAATTTGTAAAGGAAAGGTTTGATTTGGCAACTGCACTACTACGCCCGACTCGACCATATCAGGCGATCATGTTCGACAGTGACGCCAAAAGCGTTGTCATACGAAAGAAGTCAGCTGAACAAGGAAGTTTTTGGCAAAAAGCTGGGAATTCTTGCTTAATAATACGTTTCCTTTTTCATTTTATTATTCTCATCTATTATGACTAGGTTTCGAACACGGATGGATAGAATGCATGGACGTGTCCCGAGTGGCTAATATACTCACTACTCACGTGTACTCCGAACTCGGCCTCCGACAATTAGAAATCCTCGCTGCTGATAATCTCTTTCGTCTGTGATTACTATTGTTGGAAATCTAGAAATGCGATACATTTCCGATCAGCCCAATTGCATCAATTAAGCCATTACATAATATCGAATGTTTTGTGATATCGTTGCGTTACATTCCATATTTCCTAAATGTAGATTCCGGCCCTGTTTGACAAAACAGCTGATTGGTTGTTCATACCAATCAAAATGAAGAATAAATAAACGGCATATTCCACCACCGTAATAATATCCAGCAGCAGTCCTGTATTTGAGATGGGTTCTACAGTATCAGTTGATGAAGTTGCTGGAGACGACCGTTGATAATGTTTTCGCTGTTTAAGAACAAATGAATAATCCCCAATAGGAATTACGTCTTATCTTTTGATTACGGGGGGTTTTTTTTACTATTTATTGTGAATTATTCGATTGGTCGAATATTGTAGTAGCCGCAGCTGACTCGACAAATCACAAGGTCATCTGACAGGTAGTCCTCTCGGTCGGTCAAGTTGTCGAGGGCTGTAAAAATTATACCGATAAGGTCAAAAATTAGTAGTGTCTCGCAATATTGCCCCCCCCCCAATGCAACATTGAAATAACCCATGAACATTTCAGCTTTTTGTGCGACGAGATTGTCGCGATTTGTATCAGGGTCAACGGAGTCGATCCGATCCTTATATCCCAAAATCATATGGGCTAGTCCTTAATAATGGTTGAAAATGGCAACAGGCAGGTAGTCGTTATAAGACATCAGAATGGTGTAATATTAGCAGACTAAATATACGATCAAGTATATTACTGAATATGAGACATTCTTTGACTACAAGTGAAACCTGACTTGATATAAAAGGTCTTTGTTTAAATAAAACTGCTATTTAGCAACTTCCGAGTTTTACCTTACATACAATGTTGATTCTATACTATCTATCTCGTAAGTTTGTACAAGCGTTTATTACTTGTGCATTGCAATAAACAAAAAGCACGAGCAAGTTAACTTGCCTTACACTTGGAAAGGAAATTAAGTAATTTTATTTTTTGGATAAAATAGCGTTCTGTATTAGTATATGCGGAACGTCTAACAACTCTCTGGGCAATAATATTATGGAACAGATTTTATCCATCATCCAAGAATTGTTTTATGCGAGCGTTTAATGTAGAAAGATCGGGAAAAATACTATAAAAAGCTTTTGACGGACATTCACATTTATTTTTACTAGCTTCCCGCGCATTACTTTACGAATGTGTTGAATAATGTTTGCACAAGATTTCAATAAATCAAATCGAAACTGCTATCTAATTAGTAATTCGTTTACTTGTATTGCTTATTATTTTGATATGTCATGCAGCCCATCAATTTAAAGCGCACCACAATTTATAAACTGTCTTTTTCAGTAGACTGAAATTTACTCCACCACATGTAAGCATTTCCACAAGTGGCTGAATCCCATTCATGAAGGAGAATCACAATCAAAGTGTTGTTCGGGATATAAAGGGGATACTTCCAACATTTTCACCCTTCCATTCTACTACTACGAAATAGCACGTTTAATGTCTTCTCCATCTTTGTCCTCTCAACGCAAGACCAACCAGCAATAAGACGTTTCTTACTCCAGTTAGTACCAATAATTGTAAGCTAGATTATGTAGGCTCGTAATTCACTGACTCTTGCACACAGTCGTTAGATACCTGTACTCTTGATCGCTTCCTCAACAACATGAACTAAATCCTGTTTATGGTGTTGCCAATTTTCATGATCTATGCAACTATTCATCGGAAGGCATCACTACATTCGTTAATGCTCTCCAACTCAACTCTTTTCAAAAGACTACACTTATAGAAAAACTCAAAGGGTCTGTTAGTAAGAACTATCGCTGTTGGTAAGTATCAGGGTCTAATCTGTTTAAACCGGCGGACCCTGTTTTGCTGTTTATTGGCTGATTTAGCCAAAGATTCGGTTTACATAAACTTTTAGCTAAAAAAATTTTCTAATCGGGACAGTCATGAGCAGGCTGGTTAAACCCGAGACAGATTCAATGCTGTTTAACAGGTTGACCTGTAGCAATGTTGTATTTAAGTTGTCAGTAATAGAGAATATTGGGATTTCTGGGGGTCAAAATTTCTTTAATAGGCTGGTGCGCCTCTGTCGTCATTTGGAGCTTAAAATCCTATATCAATTTATGCTTTTGGCCTCTCAAGAAGGTCATCAGTTAGTTATAATTGCTCTTTTAGCTTCTATTTTAATCAAATTCAATGATGACAAATTTTATTTTTGGACACATCTTGCGATATCATTTTTTTATATCAAATTTAGTTATCATTTGGTTATCCATCTCCATGAGCATGAGCATTTATACGAATGCGATACGGTTGCGGAGCGTAGTTAATTAATTTGATTTCTATTTAATTATTCATCTCCATGAGCATAAGCATTTTATGTTGAACGCGATACGGTTGCGAAGCGTAGCGGAGCATAGTTAACTAATTTCTGATTTCGAATCAGTCATCTATATATATATAATATAGCAAAGGTCTAACCTCATATTACATATTTAAGTTTAATAAAAAATTTTGGTATATACTTAGTATTAAGTTTAATAAAATTTCATATATATATTAAGTTTAATACAATTTGAGCAGGGTTTTTCACCTAATGCGTAATATATGCCTCAATCATTAGCAAATGTAAATGTGCGAGAGAAATTACAAAAGTTCTTAAAATAGAGTTAAATGAAAAGGATTAGATAAAAACAGCATTAATTGCCTTATGTTATTATGAAAAAGCAGAAGAACGAAGATAAATAATTGTATTGTTACCATAGAAGTAAATTAAAATGTGTTCTTTTTTAACAGAAAATGATATAGAAGGTTAATCTGTTCCAGAAATAGATAATCAATGAGGAAGATCTTGAGGACTATGTCAAAGGTGGATATCATCCTCTACAGATATGAAAAAAAAAGATCAAACTGGCGATTGGTTCAAAAAGAAAAGATATATTAATATGAAGCTCATTTACATTAAATTCACTATGGAGCCCAAGAATTATAGCACTATTAGAAGTATTTTATATTTAAGGAAAGCACAAAGTAAAAAATTGCGCCTTATGTTTTTAAAATCAACAATACCCAAACACTCCAGAAATATCCAGATAAAAAAAAAATCACTTATGAATTTATCAAGAAAAATATCTGGACAAAAAATTTTAATACAAACAAGTTTACCATCTATTTCAGCTTTATTAATATTAATGAGATTTCTAAATACAATATTAATATTAATATGTGATTTTCGATATTACTAATACTAAGGCGGTAGATAATCCTCTAGCAGTTAGACTCGGTTGGGATACCCCCTTGAAATTGGATGAATATGAATAAAACGTATTACAATCAATTAATTGTTTGTTTTTTTTTTCGTTATTCATTGATATAATAGTATAATAATAATATTATGACTGAGTATATATATATACTTTTTGTTGGCTCAAATTGTCCCAAAATTTGTTTCACAGAGATATAAATATGATATAAATACCTGAAGCTTCCACCTACTTCGGTAGCGGCATTTAAAATGTGTAGAGGATGTTAGTCTTTACACAGGTTCTTTACATTAAAACTGTATAGAGCATGTTAGTCTCTACACAGTTTAAAGTGAATAGAACTAATGCTCATACAATTAACATAATTGCCGAAGATGGGCTAGAACTGACTAAATTTTATTTCATTTTTGCCTGCTATTTTTATTGCATTCCTCCTAAAGAATCAAATAATTGTCCGACGAATGAATTTATTTCATGTTATATAAGTGATGAAGATGCTTATGAGACAGCTATCTTTAACACTAAATCTTATTTATCCATTTGAAGAACCTTATCGAGCATGAATTTGTTGACATTTATCCAATATGATTTTTGTCAATTTTTCCTTTCAAAATTGACTCTAAAATTGGATCACTTTCAGTCAAAGTATGACATGATCAGTGTAAGCGCCTCAAGCCTATCAATGAATTTCTTTCAATTATTACCAGCACTCGAATCTCCATATGAAGAAGAAACGCATTGATAATAAACGCATCTTTATACAGCGACGCCGCGCCGCCGTTGTGGTGGTAGGCCGCAGCGTCAGGTTGCCTGACTCAGCAGTTTGATCAGAATGTTTCTCGCCGTTTCTTATCCTTGGTGCCTGTTTAATCCGTAAGCATCGAAAGATCTTATCCTTCTCATTGTTTCTATATTGCGATAGAATATTTGTTAGAATTGACAGTCTAGTCGTTGATGATAATGTAACGCTTTTGTTATTATAATACGATGACATAACGAAAGTTAAACACGATCCGGTAGTTGACTATTGAACTTTTAACCTTCCTCGTTGTTATTATGTTCACGGAATGGGATATCTTGCGTCTCAAAAGCATCAAAGTGTCTAAATAGTACTTTATAGATTAATTAGTACAATAATGAATTCATCTTGATGTGGTAAAAAGTGACTTAACTCATAAACATATGCTTAGTCCGTTGCTTTCAGAGGATGAGTATTTAATATTATCGACCGTAAGCCAACGGCATAGATACGTAGTTACCCGCTTGTAGTTAGCTTTATAGTTGCGCATGCTAATGTAGGCCATTTTTACTTTACCCGTGATCTGAATGTAGCCACAAACTAGTTTGATAATTATAATGGAAAATGCAGAAATAGGACTACAGTCAAACCTCTTTATACCGATACGAGTGGCACCGGCCATTTGCATCGGTATAACGACTTTATCAGTACAATCAGAGGCCCTCTTTATAATGATATTGTTTATGGAAACCTCATTATATCTGTATAAAAAAATTAAATAATCTACCTTTTGACGTACAATATGCGTGAGTCAACTGATAGTTATGTGATATGATATCACGCAAGTTAGATATTTTCAATTATTAGATGAAATTTACGACAAATCGTGTTGTACAAGAAATCATGGAATATCGGTATAATCAGAGAGAATCTCATATTAATATTAACATCAACACTAATTAGAGTTTATCGGTATAAGCAGTAAAATCTAATAGGACTGGTTCGGGTAAACGAAATTTCATCGGGTATAACCCGTTATCGGTATAAAGAATATCGGTATAAAGAGGTTTGACTGTACATGTACTAGTATCATAAATAATTATTTCGCAGACGCGGGAAAGCGAACGGATAAATACTCGATGAATATGTACCGTCGTTACCAGAGCATAAATTTTCCAACGACTTCGTGACATCAAGTGTAACATTTCTAATGTCTTAAACTCTGGTCATGAAATTAGGACTGGTGTGACTGGAATTACTCCAGATTAGCAACGAGCCAATCAAAGTTTTCGAAGAACTCAGGGCCAATCACATCGTAGAATTTTCGAAGAAATTTGGGGGGCCGCTGTGCGAGTTATATAAAAAGCGCGGGGAATTTGTAGGTTATTAAAAGATTAACTATTAATTCATTTATAAAAATGGTTGAAGACGAAGATATCATCAACGAAGACGGAGAACTTATACAGAACGAAGCCATGGAGGAGGAGGAAATTGAAGAAGAGTCGGAAGAAGAATCTACTGATGAAGAAGAAGCAGCCAAAGTAGATCTTCGATATTTTGTCAAATATGCCATGCCTATCAACTTCAGTCTTAATCTGTAACTACCCTTTTCGCTAGATTGCTAAAGACTTTATCGTCGACGACGACGACGACGAAGAAGAGCAAGAAGAAGAGGCTGAGAATGAAGTTCGTTCATCTCGTCGAAGGAAACGGAAGCGAGAGAAGAGAATAGAAAGTATGAATTGTTTTCTTATTACTCCTTTCTGTTTAGAGTTTACTAAGTTTTGATCGCGCACACATTCCTGTTATGCTTTCACAGGTGACGACGACGATTTAGACGATGAAGATTTAGAACTCGTTGAAGAGAATACAGGCATGACAATGAATCGAAGCGAAGTACGTTTTGTTTGTCTCTTCCAAGTTGTTCATGTTACGCGGGCACTAATAGACTTTTATTTAAATGTAGCGAAAGTTAAAGAGACTTAAGAAGCGTGGCAGAGACGAGCCAGCCCGACGTCGTAACGATCTATCCAGAATTTTTGATGAAGATTATGAAGATCAAGAAGCTGTTGGTGATGACCTCGACACATTCATCGTCGACGATGACGACGATGGTGGCATTGCTGTAGATGATCAGATGCGCGATGGAATTCCGCTTGACGAAACGGGAGAGCCTTTGAGTGCCGAGGACTTAGAGTAAGTTTTTCCTTTTGGCATACAAAAATTAACGTTGGATCTAAAATTATGCTAAAACGGCTTTATCATCTTAGGGCCAAGTCCACCTGGCATGAACTCTTTGATTATAAGGCAGATTATCTATGGGCTCTTCAGGTATTTTTCGCAAATTCGTTGCAAGTCTTTATAAGAGTCCGATCTTTGTGTGTATTTATTTATGTACATTGATTTCTGCCGTACTTTTTAATTTTCAGGAGGCGAGAAGAGAGCCCATAACAAGGGATATTAAGGATGTGAGTACACAAAAGTATTAAATCAGTCCAGTATAAAACTATGATTGCTGACTAAACGTTTAATAGATGATCTCACCGAATGAGCTCAAGATCCGAATGATGACTGACGAAGATGAACTTATACGTAAAATTGATATCCCGGAACGTATGCAACTGCGTGAAGGAATTGACGGCAAACGAAAGCTTACTCCAGATGAAATAGAAGAAGAGACTAGTTGGGTGTCTAAATTCTTTGCAGAAAAGAAAGGCACTGAACCTGCTAAAGTACAGGATACGGTTGGATATATTGTCAAAGATCTCAGTCAGGAGCTAGTTGAAATTCCTTACATAATTGCACAACGACGTGATCATTTACTTCCGCATTCGAGAGACCGTGAACTCACAACTGAAGACCTTTGGACAATATATGATTTAGACACAAAGTTTCATGCACTAATAGAAGCACGTGAGAGGCTAAGACAGTACATATCAAAGCTCGCAAAGCCTGATGAATATGTAGAGGAAATGATACCTCAGGCGGAGCGCATTGAAGAGCTTAACAATTTGAGAGAATATTTGAGTCTTAAATATTGTAATCAAATAGTAAGGCCAGATAAGAGAGGCCCAAGAAAGGCAGATAAATTCAAATACTACGAAAGGTGTCGGAGCCGGGGTGTTCAAGGCTTTGTTAAGGTAATTTTGCAGACTCTTTTATTCACTATCTTTAAATCTTTCTAACTTGTGTGAGTATGTACTTTAAACTTGCCGATTGTGATATTAGCATTTTGGAATAGATATGCGAGCATTCGCCAAAAGCTTTCTTTACCGTAATAAAATGCATTTCCCAAATGATGTCTCAAAATATCCAGAACAAGCGGCAGAAGAATACATTGCCATGGCATCTGCAGATGATAATGGCCCTCGATTAGGACGTACTACAGCCGCACAACTCATGGAAGGTAAACTTTTACCATTTGTACTTTTCCTGATTCGTCATTGGACAGAATTAATAAGCAATCTGTTATATAGATGCAAAATTTATGCTCGCAAGCGAACTCGCATATGATCCTCAAATAAAGAAAGCTTTCCGTCAGTTATATCAACAAAATGGTGAAGTCATTGTATCGCCAACAGACAAAGGTCTTAACGAGATTGTTAGCAAAAAGCATCCATGCTGGGTATGCTTGTTATCACCAAATTTCCTCGTCATTTATTATTATATTCAATCTCTCCTGAAATCTAAATTATTCTTCATTGTAGCCATTTAAGTTCTTAAAGAAACCAGTTTCCGCATTTGCCAATAGTGGACAATTCCTTCAGATATTGAACTCTGAAAAAGATGGCTTGACAAATGTTGTCATATGCCTTCGCAATAAGCAAAATCTAGTCGAAGAAATGTATCAATATATGAAAAGCGATAGTACCAGTCAATATGGAGTCCAATGGGATTCTCATCGGTGTAATATAATTGACAAGGCAGTTAGTGATTGGCTGGAGAAAGATATGGATAAATGGCTTAGAGCTAAACTGAAGGCTGACGCCGAAGATTACGTTCTCAGTGCATGCCGAAGCAAATTTGAGAAGGTAAATATTTATCTACCGTACATCTCATAACGCGCTTGTTCTTATAAGCTTCTTTCCTTACATATAGAAAATTAATATTGGGCCTTACGGAGGTCATAATCTCGAGCCAGACATGCTCCCGCGTGTCATTGCGCTCACATGTGGAGACGAGGAAACACCTCAAGACATCGAGATTGTCTTTATAGACGAACATCGTCGAATATCAATGCTTACGCTTAATGATATCCGACCACCAAATCCAAAAAAGGACATCCAACTTCAAGAGAGAGCTTCTAGAGATCGCAAAGCGTTTACTGACTTTTTGAGAAAGAAGCGACCTGAAGTTGCAGTGGTGGCAGGATATTCATCACACACCAAGAGTTTATTGACTCAGGTTAATGCTCTTATTGAAGATTATAATAGGAGATATCGAGAGGACACTGAAGACGAAATTGACGTTCTTGTCGTGAATGATGAAGTTGCGAGACTATGTAAACGTGACTCTCAAGCGGATAAACCTTGGAACATAAAATTCAGAGAAGAGAAAGACAAGCTTAAGCGATACTGCGCGTCAATTGCACGACTGGTACAGACACCTCTTCATGAGTACACTGCGTTAGGCGATGACACTACTCTTCTTGATTTACATCCGATGCAGAGATTGGTAAGTTTGATTGACAAAAGACATTTGCAGTGTGTGTCATGCTGTCATAATTATTATTCTTACTATTGCTGTCGTTAATATTATTATTGTCACGATTAACTTTGTGCATTTGTTCATTATTGAATAGGTTCACCGTGAGAAGCTAAAGGAAGCACTCGAACGTGTTATAATTGATGTAACAAATTCTGTTGGTGTAAATCTTTCACTTGCACTGGATGATCCATACTTGGCGAATGTAGTAAAGTATGTCAGTGGTCTCGGGCCTCGCAAAGCAAAGGGCGTATTGGATAGTTTAGGTCGACTAAGGCGGGAATTGGGGATGGATTCGCAGTTGTCAAGAGAATTTCTCAAAAACGAAAAGATTCTTAAGCCTAAAATATTCGAGAATTGCGCATCATTTATTCGTATTGATGGGACAGCCGAGCCACTGGATACGACCCGTATCCATCCTCAAGATTATCCAATAGCCCGTAAGATGGTATGCGATGCGCTTGATGCTGACGTAGAAGATGTAATGGAATGTGAACCAGCAGCGACGTATGTCCGGAGGATAATGGAGCGCGAACCTGACAAACTGAATGATTTGTCACTGGACGAATATGCAGAAGAAATAGCCAATATCTACAGATCTGTCAGAAGTTATGGACTATATCTTATAAAACAAGAATTACAAGAGCCGTATAAGGACATGCGAGCTGAATTCAAGAAACCCAGTCCTGATGAGATATTTGAGTATATTTATAGGGAGAACGACAAGACACTTTATCCCGGATGCTTTGTACCTGATGTTCAGATAGTTAGAGTTCAAGAAAAAATAGTTAATTGCAAGCTGGCCTCAGGACTTGATGCTATTATTAATGTATATAGAATCACTGATCAACCGTTATCTGATGCTAGATTGGTTCTTCAGGAAGGTCAAACCGTTGACTGCAAAGTAGTAAGAGTTGATAAATACGAACTAGTAGTTGAATTGACGTGTAAACCCAATGAGGTAATAGACATTGAGGAGGATAACTCGATCGTGCCTGACCCATACTATGACAAAGCTGCAGAGACACTGGCTACACGGACGCAAAAAGGTTTGGTTGCAATAATGAAGATAAAAAAACCCTCTGTTTGATCATTGACACCTTTTTTGCCAATAATGTAGTAGCTCGCCGGCCGCCACAGAAAACTCCTCAGAAACGTATATTACATCACTCTTTATTCAAGGATATGACTTGGAACGAGGCTGAGAAACATCTAGAGGATAAACGCAGAGGAGAAACTGTCCTTAGGCCTTCGTCAAAAGGGCCTAACGTTATTGGCTGTACATGGAAAGTTGCCCCAAACATTTATCAACATCTTGGTAAATACGTGATTGTGCGATGGAAATATGAAACATGCGTTTATATCAGTTATTAATGTTATTTATCAATTAGATGTAATGGAATTACCAAAGGGGCCTGATGGTAAAGCAAAAGTAAAAGTCGGAGAGTACGAATACAGCGAAATCGATGAATTGCTAGTCCATCATATTGACTCATCTGCTCGCAAGTTGGGCTCGTTACTTAATCACAGTAAATTCAGAACGGATAAAGCTGCCCTTGGTATGTATTCTAATTAGTTCTTTGCGGTGTACAAATCTATCTATCTTGCTAAATTATCCTCCTGTATGTAGAAAACTATCTTCTTAAACAATTACAATGGAGCCCACAGTTTGCTGCTTATGGATTTTGTCTTGATCCAGTAAAGGCTGGTGGGTTCTTGATTGGCATTCGGAATTCTTTGCGGACTGAAACTGTATACTGGGTAAGCTACTAGAGTGATTATTGCGAATATCATCGAGTATGATAATTACTTATTGACTACAATGCATTCCTTAATTTCGCAGCACGGTGTTGTTGTTCCTGAAGGATTCAGGCTCAATCAGATGAATTATGCAACCGTTAACGATTTAATTACTGGATTCAAGAAATTAGCAGGACATTCACTTGCATTTAAAGCCAACAGAAATTAATATTTGCATGCATAAAAATATTGTTTTTATTGACGTTCTAAATAAAATATTTGTACTTAATTTCGAATTGTGCAAATAATGTATGAAGGAGGTGACCGAATGGGCGGTTTCATCATGTATTTAGCTGTAATATAATAATACGAGAAACGACCTACAAAATCCAGACGAACGCATACCTTATTTTATTTATAGTTTTTACAAACATTATGATCAACTGATGTCACATGACGCATACAGTAAATGCCTTTACTCCTTAAACTTGAGATTATGGGAAAAAAAAATGATGGAGGCTTTTGTGGAAAGAAGTATGCTTATATTCAAACCGAACGCACCCAAATTTTTTCTACACTATTTGACAAATATTCCAACCTCCCATTAATTTTGGTATGAACAAACCAAGCTTAAATTTCTTCATCACTATCCAAGCATTTGATAAAACGTTGATTGAACAGGCTGTTGCTTGTGCTCTAAGCTACCCAAGCCTGAAAGCTCAGATTGGTGGTGTATCTTCGAACATTGACATGCAATAGGATAGAATATTCTTTTTAGTATGCCATACGCGTTTCTGTCTGCGGGAAATTTGGCCACTACCTTGTTTATATGCTGCCCGAGATTATAGCGAATGTGGGAAGGGAACAAAAATTCCGTAATTGCAAATCAATTTAGACTACCTAAACTCACTGTTCGCGTCATAAATAGCAACTAGCATAATAACAATAAAGAACAACATGAATTGTGGCAACCATGTCTGTCATTATATCAAAAAGATAATATTTATTTAGTCTCTACCATTTCATACGGCCGTGATCTCAGTATAGATTATTTTCTATCTGTAACTTACTTTTTATTAACCTCTCAGTTCACCCTTACCTTCTTCCCGTTTATTTAATCAATCAATTTTTAATATGATTTATTGTGTAATCGATTCTATGTGATTATGTGACAGTACTCCTGAGGCTCGCATGTTTGCTTTGAATGTTGAACACGCTCTTAAGAAATAGGTAAAATCCGTTTGTTATGATTGATGGATCGGAAAGTAATATCTCGTCTGGAATTCCTTTGGATTTATTGTTAGTTATGAAGACAAGTGGTCTTAATACGATCTACATTGATGGGTTATGTAAAAAGAGAATACACAGGAGAACTAGGAAACAATCAGGAATTTGTCGAGCCGTCATGTACATATACTGTAAGTAATTATTCACATAAGCCTAACATCAGACATCCCTATCAAGTACACCATACTGTGTTATACACTGTTTATAGATTATTTATTACGCATTTTATGTAACTTTATAGAAGTGTACTTCCCCTGCACATATTCTTTTTGTCATATCTGTGCAGACTTCATATCCACTAGTTAATATGACGATTTATCTTTCATCTTTTTAGTTTTAAAGAATAAATTCGCTCATAACTCTCCTCTTTGTCAAATTATATCGTGAAACGATTTCTTCAATGAATTCTTAAGTTTGCTTGCACTCAATGGCTTATCAACAAACAAGCGGATTACAGACCTATTTCTTCGAATCCTACGTTCAATTGACGAGGAGGTTGCTAGCATAGTAGTGAATGTTGAAGCAGCGCGGAATGTCATGATTGTGAGTTTTGCGTAAATTAAACTGTCTGGGGGTGTTTTATGATTTCTTTCCATTGTTTCTCATCTTTTCTTACTTTGCGCAGAAAGCTACTATGCGAACCGGTGATGTACAGTATATGAATAAGTTATATAATAAATAGATATGCGGATTATACACTGTTAACTTGTCGCATTTCTTCTCGAACCGTCCATAATAAACGATAATGTAATGCTAATTCTGAAGCGCAGAGACCATCGGGTTTATACATATATTCCAACTATTTTTGAGATATGATATTTATAGCTCGAATTGATACCAATTTCTCTGGCACGTTTAACTTTTCTGATAGTATTCTGCATCCACAATTCATACGGTGTAATGCATACTCATTATCATAAATATAATCCTGAAATAGATATTCCGCAAGCTACGCGAAGGAAAAGGCATTGCAGCCTCCACGCTGAAAAATCTCTACAAACGAAAAACAAATCCGAAGAAGAGAACGCTAGAAGCTATCGAAGAATAAATAAAAATAGATGATAGTGACAATATTATTAACAATAGTAGTAGTAAAGAAGATAATGAATTTAATTTGCACCAGAGCGACCAAAGAATAGGTTATACTCATCAATGGCTTTTGAGTCCGAGTATTTTTCTCCCATGCAATCACTCTGGTGCTTTTACGTTCAAGAGCGCGCATTCAATACAGCAATAAGCGAAATAAATGCTTACGAAAAAATTGAAATATTTTTGCGTTGTTTGACGTTTTTAATTGTAATTGTGTCAGAGCTCAACGGATGTGCTTAAGCAGTCTTTATCAAAACTATAAGGAACAATCTTTCATTCGATCAGCGGAGGCCTTTTACATCAAACTTCTTGCCTTTACCTTTCTTCAAGTTTTCGTTCTTTCTTGTTCATTCTGTGTTGGTATTAATGTTCGTTTATGGTTTATTATTTTTCGTTCTCCTTGATAAATTTCATAAGTAGTTTTTTCTTTATCTTAGATATTCCTAGTGTGTTTGGGTGTTGTTGATTTTAAAAATATAAGGCGCATTTTTTTCACCTTGTTCTTTCTTTAAGATGCTTCTAGTAGTGCTATAATAATTCTTGGGTTTCATAGTGGATTTAATGTAAATTAGTTTCATATAAATATTTTTTATATAGAGATAATCCTATATTACTCATGTTCTGGTTTATATTCATCACATTCTGGTACGATAAAGTAAAAATTAAATCAACAAGTCATAAGTTATGAATGAGCACCATTATTACTTTTCAAAATGTCATCAGTCACACTGGTCAATTTTACAGCCACATCATAATTAGCCTCTCATTTATGTCACATAATCAAATGTTCACTTTGCTGCAGTATGCCCCATATATTAATATCTCCAATTGATTGCATAATTTTTTGTTGCTGGATTTTGCGTATATCAGTCAAAATTAGGAGGAAACTGCTTTGGCAATAAACGCGTATGATATCATCAATTGTCATCCTGTCACATAATTTTTGCAATTCTTAGTAACAGTTGCATGCTGATAGTATATTAAAAGAAAGATTACAGAATTCGGTTGGAAAGAGATCGAGATATAAATTTTGGAATTTTTATGACACTATATTAATATGCAGGGGAATTTTAATTATCCTGAATTCTAATTAGAAGCGATAGGATACTTTTGCGCGTTACTGTATCCGTTGACAATCGTATTGTCCGCACTTCCTAGAATGAATTTGCAGGATCTAATTCATATTCCTCAGTAATACGAATACACTCAGTAGCCAACTAATCAATACCATGTTGCAAGAGTAGTATATCCGATCTGACAACAGCAAGGCTTAATGATGTTCTGGTTTATTAAATACTCTATGGTTCTATATATATAGATAGAACTTGCAAACAGTATGTATTAATTATCGATTAAAATTATATTAAAGTACAGCATACTAATTTTCAATTGAGCTATTAATACACGTTTTCATGGCTCAGTTTAAAATAGTAGGTGGAATAATAATAGACTTTATCCCCGACGTCTTAAAGGATCGTGTTAATAAGAGGATTATTTAAAATCACAACACCCCTAAAACCCATATTTCAACGCGTGGAATTTATTTTAGCAGTCAAAATTAAAATAGCAGAATTCAAACGTGGGCATCAAAATTGAGACCTATTCATAAATGCAGTAATAGTAATATTATTTAACATAGCAAATATTTACAAGTGAAAGTCTATATTGGCATGAAATGTAATGTGAGGACCGAGTCTCACGTATTATCATCAGAATATTGCATTTAAGAGGGTTTCTGGATTGCCTCCATGTTCGATGAGCATGTTGATTGCTGAAAATAATAATTGGACAGTAAGTAATGATGCAAAACTTGGATCAGTTGTCCAGTTTCGAGCATTTAGTAAAGTACCTTGTACTCTAGACCATGCCATTACTTCCTGGATATGTGTGATTACATTGTCGGCAATATTAAACCTGACTGCATCTAAATTTGAATAATATCAGCAATATGTAAGCAAAGCACAAACATGATTTAAGAAATTATTCAATTTAATACAATAGAAATCATGATCATAATGTTACGATCAAGAGGTTTCTCTCCTTCTAATTGTCGTCTATTTACGCAAGCATGCAATCGTATACAGCTTGCCAGTAGGGGTATCAACTGTCTCCTTCCAAACTATCTTCACAACAATCTTCCTAAAGTATAATAAAACTCACTTGCTTCAGCCATTCGCAATTCCTCTTCGCCGAATTCATCCTCTAGCATCATTACGTCATCCTCATTATCCTCAACAATCCCTTCATCCATATTACTCGTGCTTTCGTTATTCCGTAGTCGTAAAGGTACCCGGAAATATTCTAACTTCTTCAACTCATCCAAGTAAAAGAGACTTTGGAATATATCTTCGCTTTGTTGATATTCGAACCATTTAGAATGAATATCAAGCAAATGGGAAAAGAGAACCACAAGGGACGGTACTATGGGCGATGGAAGGGAAGGTTGGGAAGTGGCATCTTTGGAACTGGTAGCGGAGGGAGAATACGAACTACTGGCCAGAGATGTTAATAGAGGGCGAATGAGGATATGGGGATTGAACTAGAAGAGAGATGTTGCAGGAAAATCGGTAGACATTGTTGGGCGTAGTGAAAAAAACCATATGTAATACTATTAGAAAACTAATAATGTATCACATAACCACGGTTTTATCTGATATAACTGATGATATAACTGATGATATAACTGACTTACGGTCTCATAAATTCCGTCAATAACTTCTCTTACATCCACCATCTCTCTCTCTTCTCTCTCATCATTTCTAATACTCTTCTCTTCCGCAATTACGCAATTGTTACTTCTCTCGCGACTAAACAAGGTGCGCAAAAAAGAAACCGGCGTTTTAGTCGAGTTACGGTACACAATGAGTAGAGTACAATCTTTGAGCGAGTCTAAGAGATCAGGGTATGTTATAGTCAGTGGACCTGGGCGAGAGGAAACAGGCGGGTGATTAGGTATTGGAAGAAGCGAGACAAAAGCACATTTAATGTCTTGGATATGAAACAGAATTTTCGTGCAAATCGACTATCACAAAAAGTTTCCCTCGCATTCATGTTACATTTACTTACTCATTTCCTCTCTCAGTATTCTCATAGCCTGATCCCATTCATTTACGCGTAAATGTTCCAAAAACTCGCATTGCTTCCAAGCAAACCACAAGCGTGGAGAGACGGGAGTTTTTTCCAAATCTTCGTACGGGAATGTAGCGCACGCATCATCTATCGTTTCGTTTTCACTTTTGTCCTCAAAATTACCATTCCTTCCTACGTGGTTATTATCCTTGATCGGGTCTTTTCCTATATACTTATCATTGTCCTTACTCCAGTTCTTTTGCTTTCCCCCAATCTTACGCTCTCTCAAATTCGCATTTTTACACTTTCCACCTTCGTAATCTCTATTCCACTCGCATAATTTATCGTAAACCGACGTCACACCACTTGTGCTCAAATGCTCCAGAACTCTTTTTGCGACGTTTCCTTCCCCTTTCATGACAATTTCTTGAACGTAAATTCCGACTCTTTCAATTGAATCATCGCCTGATTGAGGTTGGTATGTATTTAACGAGATTGCGCTTGGTGTGAGCATAGAGGAAGACGAATTAGAATGAAGTGAGTACGACGGGAGAGGTTGGGAGGAAAATGGAAACGCGATGCGTTGACCGTAATAATTGAGGCAGAGTTCATTAAGAAGTGAGCGGGAAATGCGCATCCGGGAAAGTTCGTTAAATAATGCTTCCGAGGAAGAACCGTGCGCCCGCTTTATGGACGTTCGGGCTTGTAGGCGAGATATGCCGACAGTCTGGTAAAGAAAAAATCAAAAGAAATGTGAGAAATGAGCAAATAACATGTCATGTTTTAGAATGACATAAGTAGTCGCGTGCAATCATCCCAACCTGAGCTAAAAGCATAACGGCTTCTTGGTCAATTCTGTGTAATTTATCAAGCAAGCAAAAAAACTCGAGATCAGTATGCATGAACAAAATTGACTGATGTCTTTTTCTCTCCTGCACCCATTCTATCATGTTATCCTTTAACAAATCTTTCTTATCTTTGCACAGTTTCCATACTTACTCCATATCATTTGTATCCAGCTCTTCATAAATACCGTCCATCTGAGATACGTTTTCGTCTTCATCGTCGCGTTCTGGGAGTAGAAGCTGCGCAGCTTCAGGAAGTGATGCTTCCTCTCCTCGGAGCGCGTGATACGTATTATGAATAATTATCAAGTAGCTTTTTTTTTTAGGGAAAAGGGGTAAGTGTGTAATGAAGATTGGGGAGGTATTAAGTTAGGATTGCTGGTGTGCTAAAAAGAACATACATACAGATCGTATCAAAATTGTGTTGGAAGGTATGTATCCAACTCTGGCTATCCTATTCATACTCTTAGATTCTTGTGTTCTCTTTTCGTAAACATACCGTATCCCAAGTGCCAGTATAGACTCTCTAATTCCCATACTTCTCAATAAAACACTATATATATCGTCAGCCAGTTCCTCTCTTTTTCGTATTGACCAATCGTCGCTTAACTTATTGGTACTCTTTTGTGGTAATTTGACCGAAGAATCAGAATTGTCTTTGGATAGAATCGAATCGAAATCATTATTGCTGGTATTATTGTTCATTTCAAGATCGGTCGTGTTATTCCCGAGCACTAGTGACAATAACGTCTGTTGAAATTCGGTGAATGCGTGGGGATCCGAAGACAGTGCACAGGGAGCGAGATGTCTTTGCAGATATTCTAATGCTGTTGCATTTGTGATTTGCTTATCACGGGATAATTCAATGAACTAGGAATGTCGACAACATTTTAGTTAATGGGGATAGTGGGTAAATTGAGCCGATTGAGATAGAATGGTCGATATTTCCTTTAAATCTATATGTACTTTTCCCTCTACAAGGCACTAATTGCACTGTCAACTAAAATCACGCTTGCTACTCTACCTGTTGTTTATATAGTCGGAACGTTAATCTTGGCTTCAATAGTAATTCGGGATATACTTGATTTATACATTCGAATGCAGCCTGAATCTCGCCTTTATTGATGAGTTGTCTTATTTCCTATATCGAATATATAATGCGCATGTAAGTCACATTATATAATGTACTAATAACTTATAAGCATTAGACCTTTTGCTACTTTCAAAACCCATTCCCCAATTTTCAGGTGCCATTAACTCACATTGATTTTGCAGAGTTTTTCTACATTATGTGTACATTTATTATAAGTTTTATTCCACTCGTTTATAACGGTTTCTTCGTTAATAATTCCCTCGTGTCTTAGATATTCATATACAAGTTGATCTACCAAGTGTTTTGTGCGTGAATACCAAGCAATGAATAGAGTATAATACGCGATACGCGCACATACCGAGTAGATCTAGATTTATTGGAAGTGGAAGATATTGCATTGGGAATCTGAGTGTACGCAACGACAGCGTCCGAAGGAAATAATGAAGTATTTGAGAAAGTCGGTGAATTGTTCTGAACAGACGAGGAAATAGAAAGGAGAATGTGTTTAATATTAAATATTGGTGATTTGTCACAGGGCAAAATAAGAAGTAAATGGATTCAAAATGAACATGTGACGTTCCGTTGATTAAGTTAATTGATACGGCAATGTACTATGATAAATTTTGAAACGTGACTAGGTTTGTAGATTCTGCTACGAAGCATTATATAATTGAGTCTGACAGTAACAAAATTTCAAGTCATCCATTGAGCGTGTGAGCATATTACGCTCACAATTAATGCTAATCGTAATTCTACGCGCGCGTATTAGTATACTATAAAAGAAATCAATAATAATAAGATGTTTTACGCAGCAACCAGAATCAAAGGATAAGCGACGCTTTGAGATATTCCAAATTACGAGTTTTTTCTTACAAGGGAATTTTAATAAATCTGTTAATTGACTAGTACTGTATTAATATACTCAAGTATGTATGTAAATGATTTGCTTTACACATAATTATCGCTCACATTAATTAAACTTTTTGGAGGTGGTTTGCAGAATAAACAGCTGATGAACAAAAGCAGCAATGGTGTAACCATTAATTGAAAAAGTTCAAATACTTCTTATGTACTAGCTGTCTAAAAACAGTTTTAGCAGATTTCTGTAGTCGTCAATAAAGATCCTACAAAATTGAAAAAGTTCAAATACATCTAGACACTTTTTTCTATGCATCACTTCACAAGAACCTCTCCATATTTGGGGCATGCTGCAACAAGACCAGACAAAGTGAACATTCTATAAATGAGAGACTGATTGTGATGTGGTTGTAAAATTGACCAGTATGACTGATGATGTTTTGAAAAGTAATAATGGTGCTCATTCATAACTTATTATTATAAACTTGTTAATTTTAATTTTTACTCTATCATACTAATACCAGAATGTGATGAATTAGAATATAAACCATAATAATAACAGGATTAATATATATTAATATAAGATTATTTCTATTACTATTACTATATAATAATAAAAAATATAATATGAAACTAATTAACATTAAATTCACTATTACTTATTACTATTACTATGGAACCCAAGAATTGCAGCACCTTTTTGTGTTTTCAGCAACTTTATCTATCGCTCATTCTCTTCACCATCAAATTCATTCCCATCAGCTTCAGCAGGTTGATTTCATCATGCTGCAACTTCTTCCTCTGCAGAAAGGCGCAAATACAAATTAGTCCTCTGGCTAAGCCCAGTAAACTAATTCCAGATAAGATAGCTAAGGATTACTTCAAGTTCAGAACATTTCTTGTTGCTGATCTTAAAGGGCTTTTCATACTTCTTCTTAGCATAATTTTGTCCGCCTAACTTTTCCCTATAGTATTTAATGATTCCGTCTTCAGTAAAATCATTTCCATCTCCATAAACTGAAAGATCTAACTTAATTAATCCTTTTTATAATTTTTTATCTCAGCTAAGTATAAGATTCTTTCTTTGAGATCACCATCAACTTTTAATTCTTGTAAAGCAATGGTTCCCACTACTACTTCTGGATCCTAGGTAAAGAATCAGTCTAATCAATCATGATTGTTGGCATTGGCTTCTGAAAAATCATAAATATCATCTATATTTCAGGTTTCTTAGCCAGTGCATTTTTACAGTATTTAACCAGGTCAGGAGTTTTAATTTTAGTTCCTGGTTTATTAATATTAACTTTGTTGACCAGATTTTTAATTTTATCAGTCTTGATTTTAAATCAATATTTTGTGAATAATTGATTCACTTTTGAGTTAAATATTGAAACGCATTAGTTTTCACTCCTAAGGCTGCGTTAAAATCCGTGGGCAGAATCCTCTTTTCGAGGGAAACTGGACCATTCATTATAGTTAGTAAGTTGATCTAACTCATTTTGTTCCACTGGATCTAATCCTTGTCCCATTGATTCTAAATATTGATCCATATTAATATTGCCATGACATTGTTGTGGTTGAGGGTTCTGGAAAGAGTTTGCTGCCATTAGTATGATGCAGCTTGGGAATTCAGGTTCTGAATCGGATTCTGTGCCCACACTTTGGCCCTGGAATTTCGGTAGGCACCAAGGTTATTTCCGAGGTAGTAGTAGGGGTTGTGTAAGTGTGTCAATCATTATTTCAGATAATCTCGTTCACGCGTAGCTAAAATTTGCATGCGGCTCCCATTGCCAAGGTTCGATTCTCACTCGAATGTTGTGCTAATATCTAATTAAAGATTACACCAATAATTAACTATTTTTTTTCCTATCTGGTCTAATAATCTGCACCCACTTAATTACGGATAGATGTTATGTAAGCTAGCCCGTCGGCAATACTCCGTTTCGCAACAACGACGCACAAGATTTGAACTATTATTAGAACAACAACTGATAATAATCCTTAGTCGAAGAGTGTGTTAATTATAAAACTTTGACGGGTTAATAATAAACTCCTTATACCCATTTTTGTAAGAAAAAAAATGCTTTAAAATCGTAGTACAGTAAATGAGTCTAATTAACAATAGTAATCGTCGCACTAGACGATAAATTTCACTATCGATCATAGTATTCATTTAGTATGAACATTACAAATTATTATCTGCTCAACGATTTTAACACCATTTTCAAACACTCGAACGATGGAATTTTTGCGAGCATTTTTATGAATAGACAGAGGCGCAATTTAGTGTTATATGTTCTGAGAAGTCGATGATGTTGAGGCTCAAAATTCAAAATTATAAGTCATGTCGATGGCTCCATGACTTCTCATTGGTTGATCAAATTTTATTCTTTAATCCCCACATTTAATAATAACTCAAAGAGTAATACTGTTAGCCGCTATGTGTGAGAATTATTATGCAATAATTAATTAAATCTAAAAATTAAGAATTAATATCTGAAGATTAGGGTTTAAGACCAATAATTAAGATTAAAAGTAATGTAATTTTCCTTATACAAATAGAAAATGTTCTTCAGAATAACATAATGAAGGTGCTTGACAGTATTGAGCCATTGTTATAGACATTCGTCACACGATGACATTAGATAATCAGTTATCTTATGTACTGTACAGTCCTATTTCGGACATTGAACTATAGTTATCGCCAAAGGCATTCAGTTATAGTTACCATCTATAAGTAGTTTGCATCGATTGCACAATATTACGACCCTTTGATTTGTTAATTCGTGACGTTCGTTATGAAAAAAATAATACTGTGTACATTGATCTGTAAACAATAAGCCAACAATAACCCAAATTTACAATGATCACGTCCTTATTTTTAAAAGGCTCTTGACTTGTCAATCATATCCTCAGTTGATTATCTCTTTTTTGAGACACATCCATATCTCTTCTCCATTATTCTCTATCGAAAAGAGAAAAAACGTCGATTTTTCACTAAACCGCTAGTAATTACTGCCAGGCAAAAAAATCATCAACAACCCAGTAATACTAAGCCACTAAATAAACAAAACGTGAATTATTCACTTGTCAAATAGGTAGGAATAGAATTGTTACTTGAGATCAGTAGGAATTTACCAGAACTCGGTTGTAAAGTACAAGCATTATGAATACCATTTCTCATAAACTGTCATGTTGAAACTTTACGTAATAAAATAGGGCATATGAATCGACTATTTTGAAAGAGATTGTTTTCATGTGCGAGTCCTATAACATTTGAAACTGTTATCTATATGCACTGTCTCTATTATCTCCTGCTACGCAAAACTATGTTTTCACAAGTACACAAACGTTTCTCCAAGTCGCATCGCCAAATCTCACATACTATTTATTGTATGTCATATTACATATATCATACCGGGTCTAACTTTATTGATATTATAATCGGGATTTACATACCAAACTTAGGTGGCAAACATTTGATAATCTGTAATACGGTCAGAAAAAGGTCTAGTCTTATGAATTGCCGCAAATAGAGCTAATTAAAACTTCCAAATCACATACACGCCAAAGGTACCTTCAGATGGCATAAAATTTTAATAAGTAATGAATATACATATTGTCCCTCTGACAATAAAAAAAGTCGCGCCAATAATGATATAATAAAGATCTTTGTCCGCATGGGTCACTCTTCTTTCGATCACACAAGGAAATCCATTACACTGAGTCGAAGTCAGTTCACACAATCACTGGAACAGTCGTCCCGGGAAAATTCGTCTATTTACATAATAACAGTATAATATACAATACATAGAAATGAGATGTTTACATATTATTTAAATATGTACATAATGAGGATAACGTCACAAAGAAAAAGGTCATCCCCAGATCGGTTTCATAGAACATATAACCGTATCGCATTAAACACCCGCTCATTATAATATGACTTCTGGCTTCACCTCCATCTTTTCTTTTACTTTGCTCTCCTTCCTAACGATGACAACAGTACATGCAGCCGAATGCAAGCAGTACTGTGAAACACTTCCAACAGCATCTCCATCGGACGTCGAAGTACCACGATGACCTAAGACAATTACATCAGCGTCTGTCTTCTTGGCGAATTCGGTAATTGTCGTTCCTGCATCATCGTTGAGTCGGACATGGCATTCGAGGTTTAAATACTACAAAACGAAGTGACACAAATTTTCAACTATTAAGTTGGAAATGCCATGGACAACAGCGTATCGTTTACTTGTCTCAATGTGCACTCTTACCTTCTGCTCATGGGCATAGCGTTCGTTTATAATGGACGTCCCGCGCTTTAATATCTCGTTTGCATTATCTTCTGTCTGATACACATGCAATAGCATATTAACAGTTTTGCTTCCTAATACGTTTCAATTGTCAATTTATTCTCCCCAACTCTCCCTCACCTTTTTTCGTATGGCTTCCGTCGGCCCATTATCCAAAATGTTGCCTATACCATGCAAGAAGTATTGATTAATATGTTTGGTTCATCAGTGATCAGTTCAACGATCAGACATTCCAATGGCCCTTCTTTCTCCACTGTATTCACATGTCCTCCATCACTTGTTCACTACACACCTTTTCTGATCGCTAATTGGTACAAATTATCACTAATTATCCTTCAACCCCAAAACATTTTGTTGTCAACTCACGCGTAGCAGCATAGTATTCAAGGGGAGATGATTCTTGATTGAATATTCCCACAGCCAATAGCATGATAATATCTGAGCGAGCATCGATTATATTGTCCATCGCCCATGTGAGTGCATACATCGAATGGTCTGAACCATCCAGAGCAACTATTACTTTTTTCATTGATAAAGATTCCTTCGTTTTTGTTTGGAGTGTTTTTATTTCTCTGTCCCTGCCTATTCCCCTCTTATATTTATAGGCAAAAATGTTTGATGACATCATAATATTCATTATTTTCTCACGTCAAGTCACCAGCCGTATATCTGTGTCCATTTCTGTATCATAACGTCATTTTGCATTGTTTGTTTCCTCATTCATTCGGATGAGAAACTCGAAATGTGGGGTGACGGGGGAGCGCCCGGTTCTGTGCGCAACAGTTATTATTATTGAGGATTTTGCTTCGACAATACAGTCATATGAACGGTGATCTTCTGCCTACATTTGTCAAATTTGCCCACATTTACGTAAATCACATGAAAAGAATATTTGTTGTGTGACCGTTCTTCCAGATCACCCGACGGATGACGTTTTGGTTACACATAAAGAGCGAAATTTCGAATTTTTAATAATCTTTCACGAGCCAGTCATCTAACACTAAAGTTGTAATGAAATATGAAATGTGGAGCAATAGTTTTACACAGTATATACACTTAACACTCGACGCATATTTTTGATCCTCATGAAAGCACTGTTTTGACGTTTGCACAAGCGTTCAACTGACTGATCACGTCTTTGTCATGACTTTATCTCCATCTGCGGCCTAATCCTGCGTTTTCGCATATGTCAAGCCAAATTATCAGAATAAGCCTACATATTAGCGATAAAAGAATAACACTGAGAAATTGGAAAGATTTTAGTTAAAGAAGTCAATAATTATGGAGAAAGTACTAAACAAATTAATAAATTAGCTAGTATAAGCAGCTGTACGTTTCTAAGATTCTACTGCAACACAAGTTGGAAACAATTGGAGAAACTATGTGGTAGAGTGTATTAAAAAGGGAGAAGCGATTGATGCTATATGATGAGGATAATTGTATCTATAGGTTTATCTTTAAAATTATTATTGGAAACCGACAAATTATAAAACGTTAAATTTTTTTTGAATAGGAAAAGGAAAATCGCGATTTAAACGATTAATGTGGTTACACATGCGCAATATGGGACAATATCATATTGCACAATAATCGTAAAAAGTTGAGTAAGAGGTTTATTTTTGCACTATTACCTGTCCTATCAAGTAATGAGAATTTATAATCATGTGATGGAACTGCAATTAAGCGTGAATAACATCAGGTTAAGTATTTCATGACTGTTAGAACGAAAGGGGTTAGTTTTGAGGAAATAAAAGCTATGTGAAAATTGGCATGGATTTTCCAATCAAAAATGCTTGTTGTGAGGAAATACTGGTAATATTCATATTATTCAATTAACAAATGTTTGATACAGTATTGCAATGATTATGTTATGGTGAGCTGTGTTTGCTTTATCGGGAGCAGACAGCAAAAAAACGAACATTTATTATGGTAAGTTCAAAATTTGAGAAAAAAATTAAAAAGCAAATTTCTGATTTATTTTGATACAGATCTGTATCACAATGAGCACAAAATATCTAGCAAGTTGCTTTTCTGTACATTGTAACATAATCTGGGCTAACGTCCGGGTGATGACGCTAATTTGCAGCCGGGTAGGGAAGGCGAATATTTTTCGCATTGGGGGTGTGTGTGCTCGTTCCGACCGGGTAATTTAGCTTCCGCTTGTTCCGGTGTTACTGTTTGCGTATTATTTTAACTATATTTATTATTAGGCGCGCTTCCTACTCCCTAAACGATTTGCTTTCCGCACTCACATCCAAATAAGGATACCTATGACATAATAGCAACAATTATTATATTGATATCACAGGAATTGTTTATTCGAATTTAGACAGAGCAACTTCAAATTTGTGTTCTGGTAAACGTTACGTCTATTAAACTACGATCATTAATATATTAATAATAAACTCCCGTTCCGCTATTTGCATAATTGATATTTTACAGCCTTAAATGAATTTCCAAAATTATTGCTGATCTGCAGATTTATTATTAAAAACATATGAAATTTGATACTCTTTCTTTCACTTAACTTTTCGTGGACAACTGTCAATAAGATTTACATCACTCGAAAGCCAGTTGATTGTAGTTTATGAAACAGAATATGAAAAATTACTCACATTTCAACTATGAAGGTATAGTGTAATGTTTTTCATCCATCACGATTGTCGATCATGATCGACCTTATGATCGCAATAGTAGTGGGTGTATTTTCTTGGCATCTAATATACCAAGTCTACCAACAAATTACAATCTACTCTTCTTTAATACCGCAAAATTTTTTTGGATATATTTTGTCTCCTTCTCTAAATAGGTCGATCAAATTTAGGTCAGGACTTTAAGGAATTAATATTTCTTTGTTCTTAAACCTCTGAACTGAGTTATTATTCTGAAATATCAATGCTGATGAAAAGCATTACATTGTAAGCTCATGGTTAAAATATGAAAAAAAATTTTTTTTATATTCTTTTTCATATGGCTTCCGAGTGATATAAATCTTATTGACGAAAAAATAGGTAAAAAAAAAATCAAATTTCAAGAGTAAATTTAGATCGGACAATATTTGAAAGATAAGTGTAGACATGTCCGGTTAATACTTCAACAATGATAAAAAAACTAATTTAATTTTAAAGGTTGTTTTATTTAACGTTTCGTGGATAACGAGCGCTATCCAATACCAATATTCAAGCAAACATATCAAGACACTATATGAGCTTTTATATATTGAAACGTTTAATGAAATAGGACGCTCGACATGATTTCTCCTTTCTTCTTTTTGGGAAAGATAAATTGCATATTATTACTCAGACCAATAATTCTTGGGTTAGATACAAGGAAGTAAATCCTCTAGATATCAAGTATCGTTTCAAACTTGGGTTTTATATTTCATAAGCTATAACGTTTTTCATGGACAAAGTACAAAGAAAAATTGGATCTATTTGCGAAAACGTCAAGGCTTGAACTTTTATTTGACGGCTCGATACAGTAGCAACGTAAAATAGTGTATGATGTAGCAGAGAATATTTGTATGACTTTATCAACGGGGACAACTATCACTGTATGAAATGAGTATCAAGAATGAGGCTTAATTATCTAACTTATTGTGCAGACTATAGTTATTTCATATTACCTTTTTGTATTCCTGTTATCATTTGAACCTCTTTTCAATATTTGCCACAAGATGGTGTTGTATCATAATTATAATCAGATCACATTGAACTACCGCGGGTGATCGTTCAGTAATTGGGCTTGCTTTTAATCAAGGTTTTATTTTTGCTCGAAATTGCTAATACAGTTGGTGGCCTTTTTACTCACCGTTCTCCGGTGATCAATTACTTCGCCTACCTTAAATCGTTGGGATTAATTGAGTTTACATTAAATGTGCGTATTAGTAATGCTCGACAATCGTGCCGCAAAATCGTTGGATACTAATTTCCAATGGCCGTTACTGTAAACTAGATCTTATAATGTATTTACTATTATATATACATAGGAATATATTTGTTGATTATAGTTTAGAGCGTCTATATCTAGCGTATGTAGAAATTACAATATAGAGTGCATTGTTTAATATAGTGGAAAAACGATGATAATCAGTTAGAGCGGAAAAAGTATTTCTTCTTGGTTATGAAGGAACAGACAGTTGATATGGTGAGATCCTTTGTACTGTATGGACGTTGGTGAGGGAAGGCAAGCAATGTAGGCTCACTGAATGGTTTTTGAAAGCAAAAATCACACAAGCGTGAAAGGGTCGAAGAGGAGTTTTATGATTACTTTTAAGACTGTAGAGGTTTTCAAAAGAAAGTAAAAGTTACTATTGTGTGTTGTCTACAACATAACTCGGTACCTCTTTTTAATTAATCAGAATCATGAATAATACAATCTAACGTGTCGGTAGTGTAGATTTTAGGATAAACAATTAAAAGATGAATTGCAAAACGTGTTCTATTTAATCTGTCGATGGTTAATGTCAAAAGTTGAAAAGGATAGCACTTCCAATAAAGCAATCATCATACAATTTCTTTAATAGCACGTTTTTGCCACAGCTCCATATCAATATCTAAAATTTTTGGCTTCTTTGAAAACTTTTTTGAGCACTACTACATAGCGACGTACAGTTTTGAAAAGTAAAGTTTCCGAAAGAATTTTTCTGTCGGAGACAAAACCTTGGTTTGCTTCGAAGTAATATATTGCAAGAACCAGTAAACTTGAGTGCATCGAGATAGAGTGTAGACGAAAGGACTTGTTCGTGAGGAAGATTCTGCTTAGGCACGTTTTACAAGGCTAGTGTGACGTAGTAGTAGTAAACAAAAATTTGTGCAACAGATTTTGTCAATACTTTTTTCCGGTGAGTATAATAATGGTGACTTGGAAATAAAATTGTTAATATCATACGTTAATATAAGCGATAGTCTCATGCACAAAATGAAAACAAAGGTTCAAAGTGAGTTATATCATAGAACAGCTGAACAAGGACATGCTAATGCCCAACATAACCTTGCTTTATGTTATACCAATGCAACTGGAGTAGAAAAAGATAAACAGAAAGCTATTGAATGGTATAAAAAAGCTGCTGAACAAAAAAATGCTGCGTAGCCAATTTACAAGTTAATGATCAACAAGCTCAAGTTTTTCAATCAGCTTATGAGATAGCTGGTCCAAGTCAAACAAGGCCAAACTAAAATAACTCTCTAATACTAATGTAATAGTAAATGGTAAGAAATATTTTTGGTACAGAATATTTGACATAAAATTGAATACAAGGACTATTGCTATGAATGGAGATAAATTACATACAGGCTATAATATTTTATACCAATTAAGAAAAGATTTAATTGTCTATAAGCAGCAGGGGGCGCGAACAGACTTTTTTTTTTGTGAGGTGTTTTTTTTACACCTTCATTTTGCGAGTTTTTTTAAGCTAAAATCGCTAAAATCCTAGCAATTTTTGATGTATCAAAACAGGTGTTTTTTTTTTAGATTATGTATAACTGACGACGCAAACATAAATTTATCGTCAAAGATGGGAGCGCGAGCAGACTTTATTATTTTTTTTAGTGTTTTTTTCGTGTTATTTTTACACCTCAGTCCGCAAGTTATTTTACTTAAAATCACTAAAATCGATAACATTTTTTTTATATATCAGAAATCGATACCCAGGAACACACTCTAGAAAAGGTGGTTTTTTCTTTTTTAACACCCCCAGTCTGCGAGTTTTTAACCTCTAGAAACCCAAGAACTGTAATTTGTTTTCTTGACAGAGCGAAGCGATTTAAAACTTAAGAAATATAATTTGTTTTCTTGACAGAGCGAAGCAATTTAAAACTTGAGAACTATAATTTGTTTTCTTGATAGAGCAAAACGATTTAAAACTTAAGAAATATAATTTGCTTCCTAGATTAGAAATCTTTCGAAAAACCTTAAATTATATAATTTGTTTTCTTGGTAGAGCGAAGCGATTTAAAAGCGCGAGCAGACTTTTTTTTGGTGGGGTGTTTTTTTATATACCTGCAGTCTGCGGATTTTTATCGCTAAAAATGTTAAATGCGATAGCAAAAATCGGGTGTAAAAACGATGTAAAAATGGAACTAGGACGAGTATTTTGTTTTTTACGACATAATTTCGGTAAAATAACACCTGCAGTCTGCGGATTTTTAGCGATAAAAACGTTAAATTCGATAGCAAAAATCGGGTGTAAAATAGAACTATGATGTATTTTTTATGTTTGCTTCGTCAAAGATGTCGTTAAAAAAAATTAAAATTCTATCGGTAGCTTGAGTTAGCTTGCTCTTGCGATCTTGCATTGTTGTCATTTTATATACCGCATAAATAAAAAAATAATCGTGCAAATGCTATGTCTCGAAGAGACGCCCCTAAAGGGCCTGGGTATGATATCAATATCGCTATAAGTTTTCTTTAAGCACTTCGGATTTTTCTGCCATTTTTTCTAGCATTTTTCGGTAATAATGTTTCATATTTCGATACTTACTAGCATGCATTATACGTGCGTCATATTTAGAAAAAGTTAGACCATGTCCTGCGTACGCAGACTTACCGCACTTTTTACATGGTGTACACATAGGAGAATTCTTGTGAACATGACAGTCTTCAACTTCATATTCCTCATTGTATACTTCTTCGTCACCAAATAGATCAATCATATCTATGCTAATTTTTTTAACGATATATACAGTACCGCATAGAATAATTAATAGAAAAATTAATGCAATCGGGACACGCTATATATATCAGTATGCTATCGGGCTATGCTACATACACGCTATCTGGTTATGCTATCGATAATGCTGTAAGTTGCGAAAAAAGTGGGTTAGCTTTGACTATATATATGAGAAGGTATATGTATGCTATTGATTAATGCTATCTAATTTAGCTATTGGGTTATGTTAACATGTAAATGTTATCGAAAATGATATCAAGTGTATTACATAAACATTATCTGTCTATGTTATAGGACCTGTGTACCTTATTATTGCTATAGAAAAATCTGAAGTTACCTGCCTGAATAATCAACCAAAACAATCGAGTACGTTATATAAATACTATCAAAATGTAATCACTTATGTCCACTAGTGTTCTTGCTAAGCTGGCGAGAATAAAACCGCAAAACATAAAACCCACCAGCATGAATTTTACACGTTCCAGGTGCAGAAGAAGTTGGCTTACCACAAACTTTGCAGGGGACACGTTTTTTAGACCTCCAATGTTCATGACATCCTTCAGGACGTCGACATCCACGTCCACAGACTTTACCAGAGTTGTGTATATAATCACAGGTATATTTTCCCGACATGGGTAAAAGAAGTATTTTTTATTTAAACAAAAGATCTGATTAAGTAATATATAATACAAGTACAATATTCAGATACAAAATTATCCTGCTTCGCAGAAATGGTAAATCACAAAAATATCGAATCAGTTTTGGTTGAAGTCATTAAAGTAGCATATAGTCAAGGCACTAAAAAATATGACAAATTAGGAGCATCATATGTAAACTATCTTAAAACTTTACAACGGAAAAGAGATCCAGAAGATCATGTTAGATACGTTGCAAAACAGCGCGCTCCAAATGAGGAAACTTATAATGAAAGAATGGCAGATTTCAAAGAATGGTATAATGAAGAAGTATATGTTAGTCTTGAAAATTTATATAAGTTATATTTCGAATTGGCTAACCAAGAAGAAGTTGTAGAAAAAAGATCCAAGGAAGAAGTAGACGATATTCTTCAAAGAATTCATGGTCTAGAAATTTAATATTATTTAGCCACTGTGTGACTACCTTTGGCAAGGATCCATTTAGGTGGATACTCAACATTGTCAACTTTCATTAGTTGTTCTCTCACGAATGATCTTTCGGGTCCATCGCCATTTTCATCCATAAGCCAGTACAATACCGGTTGATTTTTTTGTATTAGTGATTCCTTAATACGATAAATTTTGGGTGAGTAATTCATATCAGTTATGCGTCTATTGCCAAATTCTAATTCTCCAGGTTCGAGTAAATATAAAACAGAATCTTTATAGGTTAACCGAGGTTCATCAAACCCAATAGGTCTTCGATGTTTTACAGATGGATCGGCAATTATTTTTTCCCCTTTTAATGCCCTCTTTACAGCTTCATTAGGTGACATATGAATTAAACGAGTAGGAGTATCATTATAAATGTCATCATTAATACGAAGACCTTTAACCCATGCTCTAGATCTGTCAGACAAAGGTAAATGAAAATCTACGGCATCTTGACGAATGAAAGCATGTTTTTCAAATTCTTGATGATCACGTTCTGCTATAGCGTTGCTACGTTTAGATTTTTTGGGATCAAAATATACACCATGCCTTAATAATAAATCCTTACACTCAGCTAAATACTCAGTACCTTTATCTGTTCTAAAAACATTAGGCCAAGAAAGAGGATTATTAGGATCTTCATAATTTTTTTTAATTGCTTTTGCTACAGTAGAAGCCGATTTATTAGTTAATGCACAGCTTTTTCGATATCTAGTTCCCACGTCTTTTATTACAAGTCTATATTTAAAAATTCGATTACCAATTTTATCATGAGGCATAGGAGTAAGATCGGATTGATGCATTTCGTTTAAATTTTGAATTCCATTGAAAGATGCATACTGAATAAAACGTGGTCGAGGTTTATGAATCAAATACAATAACTGTTTTTCAAGCCATTCTTTTATATCGTTCAATGAAAAATTATAACCAGCCTTTTTACAAGCATTGTGCATTTTTTCTACAGTTCGATAGTACCCTTCAGGTCGGTAATATAATTTTTGCAACGCAATTTCACGATCAATATCATGAGCTTTTTGTGAGTCAATATAAATTACAGGTTCAATCATAACTTTTATTATTACAGTGAATAAAAAATGGAAGAATTACGCCAAGCCAATCAAGAACTTCATTATGAAATCGATCAACTGGCTCAATCAAACAGAGACTATGAACGCCGAACATACAATCTTAAACGGGATATAGTTTTATGTGAGGAAAGAATTCGATATCTCGAGAAGGAGTTAGCAATACAATCGAACTTTCAATACAAGAAAGGGAGGAATTGGAAAAAGAGATATCAGACCTAAAAAAAATCGTCTATTA